CCTCGCCTACTGGCTCCCGGGGCTGCCTCGATGGTTTCACTAGACAGCTTCTCAATTCTGAAGCACATTTCCATCACAATTTATCCATGCAACAAGTGTTTCTAGAACACCTGCTAAAACAGAGCCTCGGGCCGTAGATTAAGAAAAAGAAAAAGCCTTTGAGCTCAAGGAACTCACAATTTAAGGGGAAAGACAGTGGATAAACATTTCAGAGTATCTTGGTGGGAACAGGGGACTGACCAAGCCAAGGGGAGCATCCATCCTAGATGGAGTGGAGGCATCTGAGAGACTCCCTGCAGGAGCTGCAGCTGCCCCCACCCTGGAGAACAGCAGTGAGCTGGCCGGGCGGAGCATGATTGCCTCATCAACACACTCCCAGGGTGTCTTCCCAGCCCCCCTTCAGAATCTGCTCAGATGATACAAATAATTTTAATATTGGCCTAAGAATAATATAGTCACATAGGTAATACTGCCTCAAAAATAATTAGGTGATGCATTTCAAAGTGAAAAACCAATGTGCTTTGACTGTCTTCCATCAGGGTGATGGCCTGGCTGCTGCCTCCCTCTCAGTGGTCTCTCCTGACACTCCCCATCCTGTGGTCTAGCTGCTCTCTACAGCACCTGGTTTCACGTCCACATGCCTTTGACTGGAGGTGCTTGTCCATCCAGCCTAGTCACTGAACTAATCATCCCCCCGGGTCCAATAAACACCTCCAGCTGTCCCTCACCTGTCTGTGCCACTGTCATCACCTGGGCCGGGCTCACAGGCACTATTATGTTCACATAACTGCCTTTTCGACCAGACAGGAGCAACTAGAGAGAGCCACTAGCTAGGCCTTATTAACACCGCCCAGCCCAGGGGTCTAGCGCAGTGCCGGGCACGTAGCAGGCCTTCAATACTATGTGCCTGCTCAGACAATTAAGAAAATCAAGGGTAAGAGTATACAGCTATATGGGCTAGAAGAGAAACAAACTGAGAAAGAACATACTTTCTGTCTCACGATTTCCAATGAAATGTCAAAACCTTTCCCCAGCCCCACACATTTACATCCTATTTTAAGGAGTGACTGAAGCTGTAGGTCTGTCTTTGAAAGGCCTAAGAAAAAACTATTATTCTGCAAAATTTACACTGGCCCTGCCTATATCTCAAAGCTACCTTGCTTCTTGCCTCTCTGGGAGGAAAGAAGAAAAATCAACTCGGAACAAATCAATCAAGCGAGCATGTATTGGGACCTTCCATTCAGGAATGTGCTGGGCACCACACACACACACACACACACACACACACACACACACACACACCACACGTACACGCACGCACGTACATGCACACGCGCGCACACGCTGCTTCCTGCTTCAAAGTCGAGCAAGAAGAACCCAGAATGAGAAACACACAATGTCCCTTTTCCTCTCGATTCCCAGCCCGGCTTTTCCTGAGCCCTCCCTGACTCTCCTCTGAGCCCTGACACAGTGACCTATTCTCACGCCTCGTGACACCAAGCTTCCCCGTGGTGCCAGCCTCCCACCACTTCCACAGCGCCTTCCGGATTTCTCTAGCCCACACCAGTTCCTCTCCTTTCTGTGTTCTCGCCTTTTCTGGTCTGTAGGGTTAACTCTGGCTTTAAATCACAATGTCTTCATTATTACCCTTTTCTTAAGAGTTTATCTTCTCTCCCCAAGGGCCTGTAAGATTCTTAAAGATCAGGTTTCCAATTGCACCATGCTGTCCTGAGCACACAGTAGGCGCTTCACAACCATTGAGGAATTGAACATTCTGCTGGGTCATCTCAAGTTCAACCACATTCACCAAAGAGCAGAGATAACAAAAGAGGCACTCGGTGGGACATCTGACACCAAGCAGGAGGACCGGCAAGCCCGGAGGCAACAATCCGCGAGCACTAGGCTCCTTGCAGTGGTCTCGGAAAAGCTACCCTTCCCCAAGACGTGAGCATTTGGGGCTGAGCCCAGAGAATCCCGTTTTTTAAGACTTGGGCTTCAGGAGAGAATGTCCTTAAAAAGTCAAGAAACGCGAAGGGAAGGGCTGCCTGAGCTCCAGATGTAAACCGGCAGGAACACACATGAATGGAGGCCATAAATCCCTCCCAGGACGCAGACAATGCCTCAGCGATAAGCATGCAGATTGCACACCTAGTTCAGAAACTCCCCCGAGTTTGCTTGTAATTAAGGGGGTTAGAAAGGTAAAAAAAATATATAAACCCAATTAATCATTTAAATATTTAAAGTCAGATTCCCCTCTCTCCAGGATTAGTGTGTTTCATAACGCCGGCGCAGACAGCCCTGGTTTTACTGGGGTTCATTTCAGAGCATGTTTAAACTCGTCAGGTTGAGTGATGCTTCCAGCAACTAATCGCATGTCAAATAAAAGATATTTTATGTAATAAATTACCGCTACAAGTAATTCAAATGTCATTTATCAGTTTTATTATCAGTCAGGCAAAGTCTTCTTTCTCTATATTAATCAAAATCAAGCTTTTTTTTTTTTTGGAGCAGTTTTGACACCTCTTGGCAAAGTACAGAAGTGAAGAGGTAGAGCCAGCCTGGAGCTGAAGGGAGTGGGACAGCAGCACAAGAAGAATGATACTCACCGGTGACACCAAAACTGCAGGTATTTAAAATTGCCATTCCCATTGTTTTTATACCAGCGTCAGAGCAGGAAGGAGTCTGTCTCTGAGAAGATGTATTTTATTTTTAGGGCTAGGAGACTCTTAAAAATACTCCTACCTAAATACCTAACCGTGCAATGCTTTTTCTCAGAGAGATCTGGATGGGGATGATTTAAATGACTGAGCTGCCCCAGCTCAGCCCAGGCTTTTGCCTCTTTAGGAAATACTAACAGTTTAACCCTTTGTATGTGCTCACAGAAGGCAAATGCGCGATGTTTTAGGTCAACTCTGTGACCAGCCAGAACACTCTGTTCTGAGCAAGTTTTCAAGTAGCCGAGAGACCTGTTTGGTATTAAGCCATAGAGGAAACAGCTGGAACAGAACAGATGTGCATCTCAGAAACTTCTGCACCCCAGCTGCCACTGCCCGTCCTCAACGAATCCCATTCAATGGCTGGGCCAGGGACACAACTAAAGAAAAAGTGTGGAGACTTAGCCTTTAGTTAAAAAGAAACACAAAGAGTATGGTTAGTGACCCAAAGCAAACACAATAGGTGGGAAAGAGTCCCAGGCTGACAAGCAGCTGCTACTGACTCAGGAGCCCTATACAAGGCTCACCATGAGGCACTATTCCTCTGGTATCAGGCCACACAACGCCAATGGTTTGTTAGACTAGGTGACCATGGATGAGAGTGGTGTGAGTGTGTGCGACCTAGTCTCACCCACTCAGCTTATCCAGAAAGCAGGAGAAAGCGGTGGTCTAAATGGGATCTGTGACACACACAGCGAGTCTAACCCACTGCCTGGCCCCTGCAGTCTACACAATGATCTTGCTCCCGGTGTGGCTAAGCCAGGGAGAAGGGTGGCAGAGTGAGCCAGAAGGGAGCTCTGGACCACACGGCAGGGGTTCAAATCACACCTTTTAAAATTGGATATCTAACACCATTTTAAATCATGTTTTGAAAAAATAAAACTTAGATAATTAAAATAAAGACAATTATAGAAAAGGCATTTTAAAAGACAACAGACGGATCCAAGGCTGAGTTACATTAAAGACACAAAACTAAGCTATTTTCCATCACTTTGGAGTCAATTTTAACCTTTTTAGACTTTGTACAAGTGACTGAAAGAAGGGGCTCTGGCTGTATTTAAGAGGTGTACTTTTATTACTAGTTTGAAGAACCTTGGTTCCTGAAACAGCTTTTCTTTAAAAACAACAAAACCTCCTGTGGGTCATGGTCTCATGTAATAATTAAACACTGCATTCAAACAGGACCTTTACATTTAATCTGAAATTCTCTAACAGACTGCCACTGCATAAATACACATGGTACAGCAAGGAGGGTGTAAGGACAAGGGAGGNAAGTATTGTTAACACTGAGTCCAGTCTTTCTGTGGTGCTAGTTGTCACTGTCCTATACATGATCTCCAGTTGCCCAGGGCAGCTTGTCATCCCCTCAAGAGGGTGGTGTCCCTGTGGTAACCATGGTGATGGCAGTGGCACCGGTTAACTGGTTCCATACAACTTTATAAATATTACATTTGTTTAGGGCTTTGGACACTTCAGGGTCTTTTGAATACACTTTTTTACTCAGACTCCTGATATCCATGGGAGACTTGGATGGATGGAAGGAAGGGAGGGAGGGAGGGAGGGAGGGAGGAGGGAGCAGTCTAAATGCACTAATATTAACTTTAAGAAATAAAATTGGGCCCTGGTTGGTGTACTTAGTGGTTAGAGCATCAGCCCACACACTGAAGGGTCGTGGGTTCGATTACCGGTCAAGGGCATGTACCTGGGTTACAGGTTCCACCAGGCCCCGATCAGGGCATGTGCAGGGGGCAACCAACTGATGATGTGTCTGTCTGTTGGTCTCTCTCTCCCCCTCCCTCCCTTCCACTCTCTCTAGAAATCAATGGAAAAAATATCCTCAGGTGAGGATTAACAGAAAATAAAAAAATTTAAAAATTGGGAGGCAAGTTACTTCAGTGAGCAAACGAGAATGCATTCATGAATCTGCAGCTCATGCTCATTCCTCTTAGTGAAACAGTAACATGCAAAAGCACTGCTATAAGAAAATGGAAACTGAACCAATAAGTACTTTTATAGATTCTTGCTTGTAACCACACTACTTGACATAATACATTAATTAACTCATTTATTCTGGTCCCTCATCTCTCCTTCTTAAACCTTTGTCACATACATCCAAGTCTGTCTCGAAGATTTGGGTGTCACATTCTTCTGGAAAAAAACAAGAACCGCCAGCTACTACTCTCAGTTTCCCCAGCTGGCTGAGTCTGGGAGACTGGGAACACTGCTCTTGGCCAGAGTCCTGAATCCCAATCAAGGTAAAAGAAGGAGTTGGGGAGGGTGACTTACTGTATGGCTGAGAAATGAGGTGAGGGGGCTGGACAGGAACCACCTGTGTGGCTGAACCCAAGGACGAAGGCTCCTCGGCAGCCGTGCCTGACTGCTGGAAAGCGACATCGATCTCTTCGTCTGTCAGCCCTAGGGGAGAAGAGCACAGGATGGCAGGTGAGTACCTTTGCCACTGTCCATGGCTGCTATGAAATCCTCATTGAGAAAAGACCCTTAGAGCCACAGAACGCCTAGCATCCTGGGAAGCTGCCTTTCCAATTTCGGATTCTCTGGAACCTCTCTCAGTTGCAATTTAACCTTAAGCGACAGAATATTAGCCTCAACACTGCTTCCAAATGTGGCTCATTCAATTTCCTTAATTTATCCTTGAGTTTATTGCTGCTTTTGAAGTCGCTCCGTACTGCAATTCTCCATTCTTCCCCCGAAAACAGATACCATCAACTGCAAATGTGGCTCATTTTAATCTGTAATGGTGTTAAAAAAAAAGAGGGGAAAAAACTAACAATAATGCATGAAAACAGACAGGGAAACAAAAAACTAATTATTGGGTGAGACGACTAATTAGTCTAGATCGTTTCCGAAGACGGGAATAATTTGCTTTATTTTATGACAAATGCAGAAATAAAAAGAAAAATCAGGACTGACTGTGATTAGTATGAATGGGATACAGAATGTAAAGAAGAAAATAAAACAAGAAAACAGATCAAAACAAGGCCAGGCCCAAACTTTCAGATGGTTATTACTCTAGCCTCTCACAGGCTGCCGATATCGCCGTTGGCTAGTTTCTCTTTCCCTTTTTTTTTTTTTAATCTTCCCGACTCTACACCACACTGCACACGGGACATGAGGAAATAGCAGGGCGCCATCTGCAGTGGCTGCACATGCGGAAATTTGCCCCTAGAGGAATGAAAGGCAAGCAAAAGACCCATGAAGACCACATTTCCAGTGGGCACGCAGCTGGGAGGTTTTCCAAGGCAGCCTGGGGACGCTGGCTCTGTGGAAAGAGGGTGAGGGCACCAACCAGCCCAAAGAATGGAACAAAGTGCAGCGCACAGGTGCGGGGAAAACTCCACGGGGCTGACTAGGAAGCAACGCGTGTGGGCAAACGTGCTCCAGCCACTGAGAGCGAGGAAGGCAGGCACGAGGTCGCCACTAGCCTGCGAAAGACCTCTCCGGCCGGCCCGTGCCATTCCGGGAATCCCAACATCCAGTCCGGCCACAACACAGAGCTTTTAAACTAGAGCCGGGAGCTTTTCCACATCTGGTCGGCAGCGCTCCATTAGAGGCCCACAGCACAGTCTAGCTGCCCCTGGGGGTAGAGGAAGTAAGTACAGGAGGTTCTGAGGATCAGCATCTTCCGAAGCCTGTGCCGCAGCTCTGTGCCCAGGGGCTCCTAGATGGAGCACATTAGCACTCTAAAGCAGGGCGCTGCCCTGCTCCGCACTGGCGTTGAGTGACTGCAGCCGCCCAAACTTTTCTGGGAGAAAGCCTGAACTGTTCTAAAGGGTGCCATACCCTTCTCTTCTGCACTGGGCAGTTGAGATCTGGCCCCATTTAACACTGTGGCTCTCCCCCCTCCCCACGCACACAGTGGAACTGGCCGAGGCAGGCCAGGCCACACCTCTGTGAAGTCTCTCAGCAGATTGATGGGCAGATGGAAAGGCTGCCAAGGTGCAAAGAGGGTCATTTACTGGCACTTAGCACATTCAAAATACAAAGGCTAAATCTGAGTATATGGGGCAAGATCAGGGACATCCCTCCTCCTGAATTCCCCAGCTTCCTGCAAAGGGGTTGCTTTATCATCACCTCACCCCCTAATCACAGAGGCAGGAGAGAAAGACAAGCCAGGGAAAAACGGAGAACACAGCTCCTAGACAAGAAAGGGAGCCCCTTTCAGCGTTCTGGTAGAAAAGCTACTGCTTTAACCAGCTCTCAATCCGCTGAAGAGAGCGGCACACGCGACGTCAGCACGGGCTGCCGGTCGCTGGTACACCACGGGATTCTACAAACCTGGTGGTTCGTGGGCCTTGTCAGCCGCTGGCTGCAAATGAGGATAATTTTCCCAAAAGGAGCATTCAGTTGCATTCTCATTTTCCCTTTTGGCTCTTTCAAATATAAACAAGTACGATAATGTTTAACGCTGGGGAAATATACAGTAAGTCACAGGCTGGGCTGCGGCCCTGAGAGCTGGAGCTGGTTAAAGGGACAGGACTCCCTGACCATTGTCCTGCCCTCTGGTCCTGAGCTTTGACGAAGCCTTTTTTCCTAATAAAACATGTCCCTTGCATTATTGCAGCCAAGCCCATGAGTGAGACCGCGGTTTAAAGGGCATCAGCACATCCTTCCAAGCTCTTGTTTTTCAGAGACCTTATCATTTGATGCTCTAAATTTACATTGGCTGGAAGTCTGATATCCCTGGTTCTCCGGAGAGTCAGGATTTTGATTTAGTTACATAAAGTGAATCATTTTTCTTCTTTTAAAAAAATAAGGATTTTAATGATCTCACTGAATAATATAATTTCAGAGCTGGACCATTATCCCAGTCATTGCCTTCATTTAACAGATTAAAAAAACTGAGGCCCAAGCAGGCTGAAAAATATGCCTCAAAGCATACTAGTTAAGGGCATGGCACTGCTGAGGACAGGCCAGGGCTTTCCATCTCTGGCCTGGTGACTTCCCACTAGAGCACAGTCACCAAACACCAAAGGGCAGACTGCAAAATTAAGTCTTAAGTCTTGAATCTTAGGGAAGAGGTTTGACAAGGACTAGACCTCTTTTCCCCCTTCCCCAGGCAGCACCCCATCCACAGGGAAGAGCCCATGGATGCTGCTTCGGGGCTACAGCAAAACAACACAGGAGCTTAGCACCTGTGGGTCCTCTCCACAATGACACCTGGACAACTTTCTGAACACCACCGGAGTGACAAGAGTAGAGTGACCTCATCTCATTCTAACCCCAAATAAATCCGAAGGCCTCTCACAGACTGGTGCCCAGCCTTCCACAGTGTCTCTTCTTCTGGGGTGCCCTGGCTTAGGGGTGGCTGACCAGGTTCAGGACTCTGCAAGTGAATCTCTCAGGGATTCATGCGGGACTTTTGGAGACCAGGGGTAGGGGTGGGGGTCATCTCTCTCGGAACACAACCGTTAGCTACCAGTCCTGGGCTCTGGTGCTGAATGGCCCCTGCCTTTAGGGATGAGGTGCTGCCACAGAACCACACATGACACATCCAGGTTCCACCCACCCCCACTGAGAAACACCAGAGAGCTGAGACTGAGACCTTGCAGAATCCAAAAGGTTAAAAGGAATAATAAAGGAAACTGCCAATTGTAAGTGAATTATATTTGGCTCTGAAAGCTGAGGCACAGGCTATATTATAAAAGGCATCTCTTTGCGTTGTTTACCATCACCCTGACTAATGCAGACCTTTTTTTTTTGTTTTAAATAATCTCATGCAAATTAGACACACACACTTCCTTCCAGTTGATTGCTATCTGCAAGGAGTAATCTAACCGCCCAGGGACGGAGCAAGGGCTGAGCTGAGCAGAGACGGAGCAAAGGGTGTCAGTCTGTGGCAGGCAAACCTCCTCCCCTCCCCTGTCTGCTCCAAGTCTTCCTTTAGCTGCTCCCTTTGGGAGAATTAACCAACTTTAATAAAACCTAAAATCTTTCAGTTGGAGTGTCAACTGCTTGACCTGATATCACTAGCACTGTGCATTTAGGGGAACCTTCAATAACCTCACCTCTGCCGCTTGCCGACTCCAAGAGCCACCAGATATCCCCCATCTGTGACACTGACAGTTAAAATATATTACTGACAGGGAGCAAAACTAAGGAAGTCCTGCCCAGTGATTCCATCCACTCGCTAGCTTCAGCAGAGGAGGAGAAGGAGGCAAGGGGACTTGTGCAAGGTGAGCAGGAGGAGCAAGGTGTCTGGCCCTGAGGCTGTGGAGTTTTGCCTTTAAGGCCATAGCTGCCTGATCTGCAAAGCTGAGAGTACTCAATTCAGACCCCACTGTGGAAATGAAGTCCCAGGCCTGACCTCTTGGTTCTCTTTAATTTACTTCCAGAACCAGCTCCCTTTCCTGGAGCCGTCCACTGCCCCGGCACAAACACGGGCCAAGGACTTCATCCCAGCACTTCTCCAGGGTGCGAGCCTTTTAAAGGAACAGACAAGTGAGCTACATTCTATGACCACGAAAGCAAACGGCTTCAGGGCTGCCACACTTGCTTGTCTTTACCCCTTAGAAGACAAACAGATGTGCTTTCTTTTTCTAAAGGTTTTGTTAAAATACAAACAGACCCAAACTGGTGGACTCTGTGAGCTGCAGGATGCAGGTCCTTTTCCAAGTCTCAGAGGGGAGGGAGACACTGACTTCCTTCTGTGGGACTGGCTGTGCAAGGGCTTCTCAGATTTTCAGAGTAAGTAACCTCAACACTGTCCCCAGTGACCGCACGGCACTGCCACCAGGCCTGGCCCTGAGCAGGTGAAGCAGAAAGACAGATGACAGCAGACAGCGGTATTCTCTGCATCTCTCAGGTCAGACAACAACCAGGACAGCAGGGTCAGGGATAGCTGGGAAATAAGCAAGATAATGAACCTGACAGCACCTTCCAGCCCAGCCAGAGGTTTATTAGGGAACAGGGACAGAGGGCCAGTGGCAAAGGGCGGCAGTTCCGCGCTGGCCACTCTGTCCATGGTCCTCCCCATCACAGTCCCTCTGCACACAGGACTCAGGTGATTCACAGAGACCGAGCGGGGTCACCTCTCTCAGAACAACTAGTTATCTACCCGTGCACACTCTGGAAGGAGATGAGGCAGAGAAGACACCTGGCTAAAAAGACTCCCGAAATTAAAAGAAAAATCAACTCTCTCAGAAAAGGTTAGGGGAGGGGAAAGGGGGAAAAGTATCTTTATTTTATTTTATTAACATTTTGTTGGAACAGTGGAGTACAATAAGGACTCTCAGAGCCTCTAAAAGTCGTTGGATGACCTGTAGACCCCTATTTCCCAGTGCCTTGTATAAAATTGAATTTTTTAAACATAAATTACACGTAATGACGACACTGTAAAAACTAACAGTAATGGAAAGCTGTGCTGTATTTCATTAGCCTGTATTATTCCGTGCCAC